TTTAGAACTAGTTTACTCCCTGACAACGGATTCCGCGATATCAGAATTGCGGCGCATGGCGGCTAGGCGTGGGTGGCCACGGGTCATATACTCCGACAATGGCACAAATTTTCATGGGGCAAATACTGAACTGCAACGGGCGATGGAAGAGTGGGCAGCGCAGCTGAAGGACTACGCGCTGACTCGGCGAACAGAATGGAAATTCATCGCACCGGGCGCACCTAACCAGGGAGGCGCATGGGAGCGTCTCGTGCGCTCAGTGAAGACTGCACTCGAAGTCAATCTACATCAGAAGAGCCCACGGGAGGAGACGTTAGCGACGCACCTGACAGAAGCAGAGAATACAGTGAACTCTCGATCGTCGACGCACGTACCGGTCGACATCAACGACGAAGAGGCGTTGACACCCAACCACTTCATCCTGTTGGGACCATCGAGCCTACCAGTCACCGCGCCGTGCACACCCACCGATCGTCGGGCGTGGAGAGCGGCGTAGGGTCTCGCCGACGAGTACTGGAGGCGCTGGGTGAAAGAGTACCTGCCGACGCTGGTTGCGCGCGGGGACTCCCGAGACGCTCAGCAGCGCCAAATTCAAGAAGAGGACCTCGTCGTGGTTGCGGACGGCAACCTACCAAGAAACGTGTGGCCGCGGGGGGTCGTCACGAAGACATTTCTTAGACCGGACGGCGTGATGCGCAACGTCGAGGTCAGGACCAAGGGCGGAGTGCTGCGGCGACTCTTCAGGAAGATAGCCGTCCTCCCGAGGAAAGCTTAGGCTCGCAGGCTACGCCGGGGGGAGGGTGTTACGGACGGCGAAGGGAGGCGCGACCCCGTCACCCCTTCATACCCCGTTGCGCCCCGCGCACCCCGCACACCGGCAGCAGATCACGCGATGTCGCCGATCAATCAGCGCGCGGCATCGCCTCACGACGCTACTCACATACTGAGACGCTCTCTTGCGTGATATAAGAACGGCGTTTCGGTTTGTGAGCTGTTCATTTCGGAAGCGGCACTCGAAGACAACAGCAAGAGAAGAAGCATCAAGAGAAATCAAGAGATACTCCATTGAAGATTGAAGAGTGAAAACTTCCCCTCTCTGTATATAGTTTATTAGTGCCAAATTTGTAAATATTTGAATACAGTATAGTCTATAATATCATCTTTCCTTTAAGCAGTAGCGTAGTAATTATTCAGTCAACCAGTTTTATACATTAAATTCATACAGTCCACTACAGTCCCTAATATGGTACATTTCATTACATTTCAAGCATCCTCTGAATTCTACTATGTACAATAATTTCATTTATAAACTCAACACCGGTTTTAGTTGTCGAGCCATCCCTTGAAAAATCAAATTCATTTTTATGAAACAATTAATTCATTTAAAAAAAAACTTAACACCTGATCTTTTTTATAGAATTAGGGTGACAAACGAGCATACAGTCCACCTGATGGTAAGTGGTTGCTGTGACCCATAGACATCTTCATTTATCCTTAATAAAAATTCAAAATGCAGATGCGTTGTCACCCGTGAGGACTAAGATGGAATGCCTCTTTTCCAGTAAAATGGGTCTCCGGTTCTCTACACTCACCATGCAAAACACAGCAGAATTAAGCTGCTATTTTACGCTGTTATTCTGTGAGAGCGTGGTCCTTCCCCGGATGAGCCGACCCATTCGTGCTACAACTATACTATTTTTTTAAATACTAGTTTAGCTCGGAAGAGTGGGGGAGGACACGGTAATCCTAGAATCCGTCAACTTGCTCTATCACCGGAAGGGCGACCATCTGTCCCAAGGAGGTGTCGGATTTATCGTCCACAAGTCTCTCGTTAACAACGTTGTAAAGATCGAGAGTGTGTCGACGAGGGTTGCGTACCTTATACTCAGAATCACCAAACGGTATTCGCTGAAGGTCATACAATTTTACATACCAACCTCGGCACACCCCGATGAGGAGGTGGAGGAAATTTAAGAGGATATCTCTAGAGCCATGCATTCCTCCAAAACCCACTATACGGTGTTAATGGGAGACTTCAACGCAAAACTAGGCACAAGAGAGAACGGTGAGCTGAAAGTAGGGAATTTCGGAATAGGGCAACGGAACCCAAGGGGCCAGCAGCTGGCCGACTTCATGGAGAAAGAGGGACTCTTTATGATTAACTCTTTCTTCCAGAAGCGGCCCCACAAGAAGTGGACCTGGTCTAGCCCGAGGATGGTTCGACAAAAAATGAGATTGACTTCATTATGACGACCAGACGACAACTGTTCAGTGCTGTCTCCGTGATCGCGGGGGTGAAAACTGGTAGCGATTACCGAATGGTTAGAGGCACACTGAACCTAAACGTTAAGTTGGAGAGTTCTCGTCTAATGAAGTCAACGCTCCGTCACCCTCGTGCTCTGTTCCAAAGTCCTGAAACCTTTCAGCTCGAGTTACCAAACTGTTTTCAGTGCCTAGAAAACTGCAATGAAGTGGACGATGTGAATGACAAGCTCGTGGAAACTGTCCATGCGGTCGGAGCTAAGTTCTGCAAGACCCGCCGCAGAAGAACACAAAAACTCTCCGATCACACTCTTAATCTCATGGCTGTTAGACGGGAGATGAAGCTACATTCTTCAACAGATTTGACAGCATACAGGCAACTGAACAGACAGATCTCCAAACGCATGCGGGGACTTGCGCAACTTCAATACAGCTTGTGTTGAAGAAGCGATCGAGCGGAACCAAGGCTCCAAAGTCTTTGCCAGAGATCTGTCTGCCAGAAAGAGTCAACTGTCAAATCTGAGGACCGAGTGTGGCAGCATCGTTTCCGGGGCACCTGAGATTTTGAGTGAGATTGAGAGTTTCTATGGGCAGCTGTACGCCTCATCGTTGGAGTCACACGCAAGTGTGAGTAACGATCCAAGGGCGAGTCTTATACGCCACTATTCCGAAGATATCCCGGACGTCAGTCTGAGCGAGATTAGAATGGCTCTCCAGCATCTTAAAAACGCCAAGGCCCCAGGCGAGGATGGAATGACAGCGGAGCTTCTGAAAGCGGGTGGAAAACCAGTACCGGTAAGTCCTTCAGAAGCTCTTTAATTCCGTCCTCCATGGTGGCATTATACCAGAGGCGTGGAGCAGAAGTGCGGTGGTCTTGTTCTTCAAGAAAGGTTACAACGCTCTCTTGAAGAACTACAGACCGATTTCCCTTCTGAGCTGCGTCTACGTGCTGCTTTCGAGAGTCATTACGAATCGTCTTGCGCGCAGACTTGACGACTTCCAGCCTCCCGAACAAGCTGGTTTCCGAAAGGGCTTTAGCACCATAGACCACATACATACTCTTCGGCAAGTTGTACAGAAGACCGAGGAGTACAATTTGACACTATGCCTGGCGTATGTGGACTATGATAAAGCCTTTGATTCCGTCGAAATTTGAGCGGTGCTGAAGTCCCTTCAGCGGTGCCAAGTTGACTATCGGTATATCGAAGTGCTGAAGTGCTTATACAGTAGGGCTACGATGGCTCTCCGAGTACAGAATCAGAGTACGAAACCTATCCAATTGCAGAGAGGTGTAAGACAGGGTGACGTTATATTCCCGAAACTCTTCACCGCTGCATTGGAAGATGTTTTCAAGCTTCTTCTTTAATGGCGAGTACATCACTCACCTTCGATTTGCCGACGATATAGTTCTTATGGCAGAATCGCTGGAGGACCTAAGCACCATGCTCAATGACCTCAATAGTGCCTCCAAACAAATATGTCTTAGGATGAACATGGACAAAACAAAAATCATGTTTAATGTCCATGTCACACCTATGTCGGTAGTTGTTGGGAGCACTAAGCTCGAAGTTGTTGACGAGTATGTTTACCTGGGACAAATAGTCCGACTAGGTAAGTCCAACTTCGACCGAGAGGTCAATCGACGGATTCAACTCGGCTGGGCAGCGTTCGGGAAACTACGACACATCTTCTCGTCAGACATACCTCAAAACCTTAAAACGAAATTGTACAACCAGTGCGTGTTGCCAGTGATGACTTACGGATCTGAGACGTGGTCCTTCACTGCTGGCCGTATGAGGAAGCTAAAGGTCGCTCAGCGATCTATGGAGAGGGCTATGCTCGGGGTTTCCCTGCGTGATAAACTTAAAAATGAGTATATCCGCAGTAGAACCAGAGTAACCGACATAGCCCAACGGATCACGGTCCACTTCCTGTGGAGCCGCTTCTGGAAGAAAGAGTTCATCATAAAGAGTCCCAGTCATGAAGTCGGCCTGTCTAGTTTCTCTGCGTGATAAACTTAGAAATTAGGATATACGCAGTAGAACCAGAGTGACCGACATAGCCCAACGGATTAGTAAGCTGAAGTGGCAGTGGGCCGGCCATATAGCTCGAAGAACCGACAACCGATGGGGAAGAAAGTTTCTTGAGTGGCAGCCTCGTACCGGTAGGCGAAGTGTAGGGTGATTCCACACGAGATGGAGTGACGACCTGGTAAGACATGCAGGAAGTCGATGGATGCAGGTGGCTCAGGACCGTGCTTTGAGGCATTCCTTGGGGGAGGTCTATGTTCAGCAGTGGACTTATGAAAGGCTGTAATGATAATGATGATGACTAGTAATGCTATTAAACATTACTAATATTCCCTTTAACCACTTCTGGTAAGCTTAAAATTTTTGTGTTAGAAGTGGTTTACGACAGTAGTCGAATGGCGGATTCGAACCCACGACCTTTCGAGTTCGCGTCCCGTGCCCTGCCATTAGGCTACTGACGCTTATAGCTACAAAATGGCTCTACCAGGTAAATCTAAAATTATTTAAAAAAATTACTGAGCGTTGACAATATAGAACTCAGGCTGAAATTGGCGGGCTGAAATTCTAATGTATTACCAGATTTATAAAGGAATGTTATACGTAGATTTTACAAATAAAGTTACGTCTTAAAATTTTCACTGTGTTTAATAGTGTTTATTAATAAATGATTGTGGATTGTTCCTAATAACTTATTTAAAAATATGTAATTCATTCAGTTAACGACGTTTTACCACAACTGTTTCTTATGTTTTCTGAAACAAAAAATTAAAGAGTGTTGAGTAATGTTTTGCTTTCTTTAAATAACCTTGTCCGATCGGAATTAACTAAGTAAATGCCGAAGCCAAAGATAAGTTTTACCACAATAACTTTATAGAATGAACGTTACCAATGTTTACGCACTGCTCTGCGCTCATCAAACCACATACAGCGTGAGAAGTGTGGCCTATTCTTTTAAGAAGTGCATTCTGCTTTCTTCGTATTTTTGAAAGTTTTATAACTAGCCAGAGTTAAAAATAGTAGGTAAGTAAAATACTGATTTGAAGTTTGTATTGTAACGAGCGATATCGTTAAGCGATGGAAATGAGAACCTTGTGGGAGGGTATAAGGTTCGAATTGGGTATTTGAAATTTGAAAAAAAAAAAAAAAAACAAAGCTCTTTGATTATTTTAATTTTAAACACACCGGCTTATACTTTTCATAGCACGCACAAATCTAACCTCAATCGCTTTGAACGCTCTTGATCGTTTCACTTACTCATTGATTTCTTTCACACATTTTGACTTAAACATATAATTGCCATTCATTGAAAACGCAAAAAAAAAATCAAAACACATAATATAGGGTTCTGATTACTCCGTCAAAGCACCCCGTCAACCTTCAAATAAGGATCAAAATTCAGGTACTTTGTCACCACATTTTGATTAAGATAAAGATGTCTCGTCACCAGGAAAAAGGGTCTACGGCTGTCCTTACTCACCCACAACAGAATTATGCTACCATTTCACGATTATTAAAGACAAAATTTATTTGGTCGTAAAATAAGACACATTCAGCATTTACATTTAATAATTCCTATGTAATGTTATAAATGTATAAATTTGTTTATATAAGTACTATAAAATGTTAAATATTATTAGGTCTTTACATATGAAATTAGCGTTTTGTCGTACTGACCAATTTGATCTGAAATATCTCCTCTTTGGTTAAGAATTCCAAATTCAAATTTATAAATTCATTTAGCTGGTACATTTGAGTTTTGAAAACAGTCATTCATTTGTTTTTTCCTCATTATTTTTTTCTTTGGCGTCGCTTATTACTGCACAATGGAAAACATGAAATATCGGTATATTTACGAGTACGAGTTCTACCGTGGCACCAGTGCTGCACAAACAGCTCGAAGGATTAATGATGTGTACGGCGCTGGTGTCGCAAAAGAAAGCACGGTAATTTTTGGTTTTAACGTTTTCGTTCTGGAAATTTCGACCTTCAGAACCAACCCCGTGGACGGCAGGAGACCAAAGTGGAAAATGAAGAATTAAAGGCTATTGTGGAAGCGGATCCATCACAAAGCACTTCAGAGATAGCTGCAGGCTTCGACGGTAAGTGATAAAACTGTATTAACCCACTTGAAGCAAATTGGGAAAATAAGTAAACTTACTCGATGGGTACCTCATGAATGGAGTGAATCGAACTTGTAAACACGCATCGACTGCTGTGTTACTTTGCTCAAACAACACAATAATGAAGGGATTTTAAATCGAATCATTACTTGTGATGAAAAGTGGATACTCTACGATACTGTACGATAATCAGAAGCGCTCGTCGCAATGGCTGAACCCTGGAGACCCAGCCAAATCCTGCCCTTAACGAAAATTGGCTCAGAAAAAGTTACTTGCGAGTGTTTGGTGGACTAGCGCCGGTGTCGTTCACTACAGCTTTCTAAAATCTAGGCAAACTAGGGATGGGCAAGGAAAAAAATATATCGATATATATCGAATCTATATTTCTAAACAGTATCGATATATAACGCGTGATAAATATCGATATATCGATATTTAAAATACCGTTGATATATATAACGACATTTTTATTAAAAAATCGATATTTTTTTTCAAGCTTAGGTCAGCAACTGGAAACCATGAAGGAAGAACTAGCTGCTAAACAATCGAGATTGGTCAATCGCTCTAGGCCACTGCTGCTTCACGACAACGCAAGACCACACACTGCACAACAAACAACCACTAAGTTAGTTGAGCTACAATTGGAATGTCTGCGACATCCACCGTACTCCCGGGACCTTGCTCCAACAGATTACCATATCTTCCGGAATTTGGACAACTTCTTACAAGGACAAAAATTCAACTCCGATGCAGCAGTCCAAACCGCCTTCAAAGAGTTTATTGATTCTAGCCCCCATGGTTTTTTTTTAATAAAAACTACCTATGAGATGGCAAAAGTGCATAGATAACAACGGTGCATACTTTGATTAATTAAATATATTATACAAAAAAAAATTGACTTTATATTCCTCCCGTACAAAACGCCAATTTCATATGTAAGGAGCTAATATTTTAATTGTAATATTTCTACACCTGATACGGTAGTACAATATGCGAACCGTTCTATAATTTAAATATCTGTAATTACCATATACGAAGAAATAAACGATATTCCATTCTATTCAAACAACCAATATAATTTAAACCGCTTGCTGTCAGTATGCGAGCAAACTCATTAATTCAGATTCCCGCCGACACCAAAGACATTGTTAATTGCGATTTCACGTGCTGATTTACCATATGCTCGGCGGTGAAGGAAACCATCGTGAGAAAACCTGCATGTCTGTGAAGTCTGTGTGTGCAAGGGAACTGCCGCATTGCCCACGCGATACTTTCTTGCCACAAAACCCTCTCAGAAATGTGAGATGGCATGTGCCCAGATGTGGAAAGTATATAGGATGTAATTATAGTTTTTTTTTCTTTTTAATGTACACACAATTTTAAAACGCAACATTTCAAATTCTTAATTTTAGTAACCAAATGCTTACTTAAATATTGAATCCGAAATACTTCCGCATATTGATGTACTTCTTTGAACGCCTCTTCAGCAATATCCAACTGATTCTTTTCCAGAGAAAGCTCCGCCAGACAGCCCCACAATTTGGTGTCTTTCAATGTGCGACAAAGCTAAAAAATGTTTTTCTATGATCAACAATTTACGTAAAAATATTTTCAGTGCCTAAAATTTTTGCACTATAGTGGATGATTATAAGAAAGTGAAGCTTGTCGGAAAACTTTCTAATTACACTGTTAATTGCTGTATTACGTGTCTGCGTACAAACAATTTCAATAATTAACACTTTGATTTGTAAGCCTTGACCTTGAATTTATCACCCGCGCGAGAGTATATTAGGTTTTTATTGAAAGACTGCGATCTATCTATTCGGGTAGGTACAGAGCCAGAATATTAAACTCTTTTAACTGCAAGGTAAATAATAGACAGAAAATCTGTGATGCTCACCAAAATAAAACCTGACCAGCCCAAAGGAAATATAGTAGCTAATGTGATAATGGACCGGCCACATGACCCTAAAAATAGGCAAGCAATGGAAAAGAATGGTTCTGTAATGGCAGCTTCGTATCGAACAAGCGCAGTGTACGACGACCCCCCAGTCAAGTAGAATAATAACCTGATGAGGCATGCAGGAAAACGATTGATGTAGGTGGCTCAGTACCGGGACCGTGTTGTGTGACAATCATTTTATTCCTTTTAAATAACGCTAGATCCACATTAGGAATATCTCCCGCATCGTAACGGCGTTTTATTTACAGAATAATTACGAAGGCCAAGCTAACATTTCTCCCGAGCGTGATTGAAATCTTCGATCTAAAGATTTATAGTCCAGCGGTGAAATTGTAATGGGCTACTAAGTTAATAAATAGTTACTTTAAATAAAATATTATAAAAACTCACCTGTACAGCTTCGTTCCACATATTAGATGCAATATATTTCAGTACCATCTCGACATGAACAATCCCAAGGGATATATGCATAACGGTGGATCCTTTACCGCGCAAAATAGCTGCCACTCCATTTTCAATACTCTGTATACTTGGATTATGGCCTATATTGCTGTAAGAAATTTAAATATTTTATACAATAAGGTTATTATGTAAAATTCAGATCGCCGATGTGCGCCAGCTAATTCTCTAATAATACCTACTGCGATAGCCAATCCACCTGCCAATTAAGGCAATATATTAAATCAGGGTGAGCTATTATAATAGAGCCTTTTTTAACTGTGGATTGTTTATGGGTTGACGAGAATGAAAATATTACGATTTTTTTTTAATGAACACAGTCTACTTGACGTGGATGCAGTATCCTATTGATACCTATATCTATCCTCGATTAAGAGACAAAATGTACGAGTAGATGCGTTGTTGGCCCAGTGGACTGAGATAGAATGCCTCTTTATCCGTGAAAAGGGTCACCTGTTCTTTACACTGACCATACGAAACACAACATTAAGCTTGATATTTTACATTGCTATTCTGTGAGAGCGTTGTCCTTCCCCGATTGAGTCGATCGATGTGTACTGCCATGTACTGTAACCATAAAGCTGCAGTGTGGTTCATAAACATTTTTCATAAATATATCAAATGATTATTAATGTTCGAAAGGAAATAAATACCTTGAAGGTAAGGAAACAGTGGTTGTAGTGAGTTCAGGTCGAGTATTATTTTTCTGATATGCCCAGCACACGATAGTTTCTTTCTTCAAACCAACCAACAGCTCGGACTCTGTACTCCACATTATGCTAAGAACGGCTCGGCCTGATGTAAGATATTTTTTAGTCATATAATGTAGTTTAAATTGTTAAACTAATAAACCTAGCAAGCTAACAGCATAGCAAAGTGGCGAAGCAATCAGCTTTGTAGCGGTTTCTAACGGTTGCCGTTGAGCAATCAGTTTCAAAATAGGAGGTTCAGATGCCTGGGTGATCAGTAATCGATTGCTCAAAACAGAATTTGAAAATTCAAAACCGTTCTCGAGATAATCGTGGGACAGACGGACAGACGGACAGATGGACAGACGGACAGACATCGTGTAATCAATAAGTGACTTCGCAAGCTTCGCCACTTAATAAGTAAATTTTTAAAGTATTTGCTCACATTTTTATTTAAAAACGTTACCCCTTCTAGGATTTTCTCCTATATCCGGGATCCTATGACCCAGGATTCGAACCCGACCTCAAGATCATCATTCGCGTTTAGGACCATTAGACCAACAAGGCAGTCACATACATTAACTACACATGGACAAACATCCAGCCCTGCGTCAATCCAAATCCACATCCAGACCCGGGACTGCCGACAAACTGTAATGCACTGCCGACAAACTGTAATGCAGTTTGGCAGATGAAAATGTTAAAATCGTTTATTGTATAATTGGAAGAAAATAAATTAAAAAATAATAATAATTTGTAATCCATAAAAAGAATTGTTCCGTGCGGTATTGGAAAACTATTTGACACTAATAACATCACATTTTTATTCAAGGTTAGCATGAAAAATGAAAAATATTGAATAAATAATTACAGTCCGTACGGATAAAAATGAGATTAGAAATGGTGGCTCGTCGAGCACGAACCATCAACATGCATAGTACCAATAACGAAAACCCGCTAATTACGGTATATCGTTATAACGTTATATTATTCGGTTAATTGGAAATTTCCTATTAATAGGAAAATATTTGAAAAGAATAATAATGCACCTAACATTAATTTTCAAATAACAAACTAGCGAGTAGCGACCCGCTCTGGCTTCGCCTGGGTGGTATGCGTAAGCATCATATTAGTCTGTGGTGGGATCTATTAATGTGGCGTTATTTAGGCTTAAAATAATAATTAAATTCCATCTATTTAATCTTATCAATATTTCTATTTTAATAAAATTTCTATATTTTTCGGATAAAATTTAGTTTAGATCACTAGTCGTATTACTCTCTATTTGTTCGTAAAGATTAGTTCGGGCAGACAGACAAAGCAAAATTTTAAAAATGGTTACTCGTGTCTCATTAGCATGCAAATATTGTATACAAAAAATCAACTAACAAAATAAACAACAATTATAAAAAAAAAACTCTCAAAACGCGTCGTAGCTTACAAATTAATGAACTGGATAGAATTTTTTTGTAGTTTATGGCATTTTTATCATTGATGGCAATGATAAGTTGGACTGATGTTATAGAACGCACGAAAAACGCTTATCACCAACGTAGTTTTTTTGCGGTCTTTACCTGAGGGTATGGACGTGTGTGAGTATAGATAGCGACATTGAATATAGGCGACGCCATTTTCAATCCCATTCTTTAACCGCACGGGTAGTACTTACGGTTTAATGCCGTAACTAAGGGGATAAATTTTTGCTTTAAAATCTATAGTAGGTGAGCTTACCACTTTCGATCCGAGCCGGCACCAATGAAAGTGATTACCTCGTGCTTGGCGTTAAAGGAAAACATCGTAATGACAACTTTGAAGCACAAAAAGTAATTTCGGCTTAGATACTTCTTGGAAGCCACATGCGCTGGAACTCAAAATAAAAAAATGTAACTCACCCAGTACTAAAAGCTTCTGCTTGGGATCCTTAACAGTGGCAACGAAGAGATCTCTCCTGCGATCGACGAGAGCAATTTGCCTCTCATTAATCGGCCCCGTTTGACTCAATGCAATGCCGCACACCGCTATATGATGCTTTATTTTTGTAACGTTGCTGTCAGTCGTACCTCGACTTATTGAATACGTAGCGGTGGGTAAATCATAAATATGTACAACTGAAATGTAAAAATTAAGCCAATGAAAAAATTAGTGATCACTAGTATTTTCGGTGCTCACGAAGAAGTCTTTAGAGTAAATTGACAACTGGGCGTTAATTTATAATTTCTGTACAGGTGGCTTAAGTCAGTATTTTGTGGTTTTACGTGGAGAAGGGTTAATTTGTTAGATTTCAGTGGATGTTGGAAGTGCTGCAATGATGATGATGATGCTATTAAAATTACGATTGAAACTTTAGTAAATTGCTGCAACTATTGCTTGGTGAAATACTTAAAATATCTAGCCTTTAAAAGTCTTTAAGATAAGTGATTTCTGCATTATCATATACCGATATAACTGTTATTATACATAAGAAAAGGAATCTAAATATGTGATATTAGACTTACTTGTCGGATTAGACTGATCTATGGATGCTAATGTATCCGGTCCTAACGATATGGAAGTGCGCCCACGAGCCTCCGCACGGGAGTTAAACTGTGGACTTGCGAGCAATCGACCAGTATAACTATATACCGAAAGGCGACCACGTTCAACTACACACATACATCTGAAAGTTTTTACTAATATCATTACTTTAATTTTAAATTCTTTAATCTTTATAGATAGATACATAATTAGTACTACTATGCATATTCTGGATTCATATAATTTATTTTAGTTAGTTAAAGTTTTTACACAGTATTTTATTACGTAGTAATTTAACACTTTAATATTATATCAAAATGAAAGTCTCACAAAATTATAATAATTTTGCGAAAGTCTATTAAATATAGCGAAAGTGTGATGAGCCTAACAATATTACAGTTCTTTCTTTGTTATGTAAAGTGTAACCGTAATAATTTCATTTTTTGTATGCTTTCATAATTTTCTTCATTATCCTGTAAAAGTATACTGCTGGAAATGGGTCTCTCCCGTATCAGGGCGAAATAATCTAATCATTTCTTTAATCGTCACACATGGCAGGTAGATTGTTGGTCGCAGCATTACACGTCCGCACCTTTGAAGCCACGGCCGGTCAGCGGTCTGCGTATTTTACGCCTGGCCTAAATTAGATAATTGTACCTTTTTTATAGGATAGGGTAAGAAACGAGCACACATTCCACCTGATGGTAAGTGGTTGCTGTGGTCCATAGACATCTACATCTATTCTCGTTTGCGAATCAAAATGCAGAAGCGATGTCATCCATGAGTATTTCCAGTAAAAGGGGTCCCCGGTTCTCTACACTCACCATACGTAACACAGCAGTGTTAAGCTGCTATTTCACGCTGGTATTCTGCAAGAGCGTGGTCCTTCGCCGGTCGAGCCGACCCATTCGTGCTACAACTCTATACTACTAATAAAGCTGCAGCATGGCTCTACCACGTATAACAGACCTTTTAGTTTACTGCAACATCCGGCTCGAGGGACCATGTAGAAAAGTGGCAAAATGTCATCAGAAAGAGCGGGAATTTATTCGCAACGCAGATGTGTTTCAGCAGAAGGTTATAAAACAATTGCAATAAACATATATAATTAAAAATATTATTTGAACCATAGATTAATTTACCTCTGCGCCAACAAAATTAACCCCACGGTACCATCCTTTAGGTCGAACGTGACTGGTGTGTTCCAAGACGTCAGTTTGTGTATGAAACACTGCTTAACCGTGGCCACGACTAAATGGTCGAATCCTAACGCGATCTGCACCACGCTGTCTGGATAATCGAGTTGATCGTTTTCTTCAGTGATTATATCCTTTATTGCTAAAACCTGACGTCCCGTTTGAGTGCAGCTGAAATTCTTCCAATTGTACCTCCTAAGAACATAATAAGTATTACAATGGAATTATTTTGTATGGGTGTGGTAAATACCTTCGTATAATGCTTACAATTTTGTAAAAAGTGTTAATTATAAGAGTCGGTAAAAGGAAATGGCTGTCGTGTCCGTTAGATGGCGCAATATAGTTATTTCTAATTTGCCATATTTAAAGTACACTGATTACTGACGGGGAGCAGGAGGTATAGGTAAATATAGAAAAACCCCCAACTACCAAAGAGTCCCATTTTTTACAGTTAAGGATGACAAGCGAGCACACAGTCAATCTGATAGGAAGTAGTTACTGGGGCCCATATACTTCTGCAATCAACTTTAAAGAAGGCCACACATTATAGATATATTATGTTATAGCAGTATTACACAACATTTCCTTAACTAAAATGAATGTAATTTTCTAAACTTACAAGTTTATTATGAATTATTTTTATTATTTATTAATAATTCAGTTACTACCTGTCTATTACATGAGCAAAGATAACGTGACCATCAGCACAAGCTGCCGCTAATTGAGTGCCATCAGGTGACCACGCGACGTTATATATACTGCCCACGGGTAAATCCAGTGAAGAGTTCGGCCACTGTATTAAAACAGGATTTAATGAGATATTCATGTTTGTCATAAAAGTGCAAAAATATACAAAAGATGCATAAAAAAGTAACAAAACCAAAGTAAGCATAATATGAATTTTATTATAGCAGATATCTTTGAAATATCTCTAGTTGTCGTATATATTGTTATGGTTTCCCTAGGAAAGTTATTGTTATGTAATGGGGAATTCTCTTAACTGGAAATGTTCTTATAAATATATCTAATGTCTTTTACCTAATGTCAATATACCTAGTCAGGTCATAAGTATTGTCACACAGTAAAATCTTTTCTTTTAGAATGCTGGCCACAAAAAAAAATTATTGAATTCGAATTTCGAATTGTTCATGAAAATAAAACTGTATACTTTTAGAATTTTACTCATTTTTAAATATGGAGTGGACGCTTAAAGAAGACCGTGTTGCAGTTATTGCGTTGCATCGTTGCGGTTACGCGCCAATTCAAATTTTGACATACTGAAAATTTTGAATATAACCAAAAGATTCGTTTATCGTACCATCAAACGATACAATGAAGACTCTAGTGTAGATGACAGGTCAAGAAGTGGTCGCCCTCGGTCTGTTAGGACTCCAGCAGTGATAAAAGCTGTGAAGGCGCGAATTCAAAGAAATCCCAAACGTAAGCAGAAACTGTTGGCCCTTTAGATGGGGTTAAGCAGAACCACGGTGAAAAGGGTGTTAAATGAAGACTTAGGGCTTCGGGCATATCGAAGAAAAACAGGACATCGTTTGAATGCTCGTCTAATGGACATGCGACTGAAGAGATGCCGCGCTTTGTTGAAGCGGTACGCGGGAAAAATATCGGGAAATTCTTTTTTCGGATGAAAAAGTTTTACCGTAGAAGAGAGCTACAACAAACAAAATGATAAGGTGTACGCACACAGTAGTGAAGAAGCGAGCAACCGTATTCCGCGTGTCCAACGAGGTCATTTTCCATCCTCGCTCATGGTATGGTTGTGAGTTTCTTATTGGGGCTTAACAAAGGTACATTTTTGTGAGAAATGTGTAAAAACGAATGCAGTTGTGTATCAAAATACAGTCCTGACGAACCTTGTGGAACCTGTTTCTCATACCATGTTCAATAACAGGCACTGGGTATTCCAACAAGATTCGGCGGCAGCTCATAGAGCGAAGAGCACACAAGACTGGCTGGCGGCGCGTGAAATCGACTTAATCCGGCACGAAGACTGGCCCTCCTCCAGTCCAGATTTGAATCCGTTAGATTACAAGATATGGCAACACTTGGAGGAAAAGGCGTGCTCAAAGCCTCATCCCAATTTGGAGTCACTCAAGACATCCTTAATTAAGGCAGCCGCCGATATTGACACGGACCTCGTTCGCGCTGCGATAGACAACTGGCCGCGCAGATTGAAGGCCTGTATTCAAAATCACGGAGGTCATTTTGAATAAACTTTAGTGTCATAAGAATCTATATTTTGTTAAATTCAATTTGGTATATAAATGGTTACATAATGAATAAACTTGTTTCAATTATTTTGTATTAAACATGTGACAGAATTTATGACCTAAATAGGTATAATCACGATATTGACATTAGATAAAAGCAAATTCTTATGCCGTTACAATAATATATACAAAAGATAAGGAAGTTCATAATTATAAAAATATAACATTTATTGTAAAACTATATACTTTTATATTTTAATCAAACGTACACCATCATCACTGTGAAGTGATATTTTATTGAAGCTACCAGCGACGAATAAATCTCCATGTGGTGACCAACTTATAGAAGTGCAAGGTTGTAGGAACTCCTTCGTCGAAAAAATTAGCTGCTGGAATGTATCCCAAACCTGGTAAAATAAAAATAATATGATAAATACGTAAAGCGTTCTAATATTTTCTTATAACTTATATATTATGTCTGAAACTAAACAAAAAACGTATAATTACTACGATGTAAAAACCGACCTTTATATACCCATCTTCATCGCCGGACACGATTAAATTATTGCTTGCGTTCCACGCAACTGACAAAATAACAGCTTCATGTGCCCACCACTGAAAAAAACATGATAAAATGAAAGGTTTTTATTTACGATTTTATAATGTTACTACTCTATCTATTTTACTATTAAAACAGGAGCTATCACAACAAAATCGGTTATTTGACACTTAGTGTTGTTCTTTTAAGTAACGTCAACTCTGACTTAAATTCCATTTTAGGACTCGCAGGATCAGTAATAGCCAGGTATTCTAACTATAAGTACAGCAGACAAGATGGTAGAATTATCTACAAATACATACAACGTTTTTATACGTGGTAGAGCCATGCTGCAGCTGTATTGTGGTTGTGGCACGGCTGGGTCGGCTCGACCGGGGAAGGACCACGCTCTCACGGAATACCACCGTCAAATGGCAGCTTGACGCTGCTGTGTTTCGTGTGGTGAGTGTAGAGAACCGGAGACCCTTTTTACTGGAAACGAGACATTCCGTCTTGGTCCTCACGGGTGACAACGCAACTGCATTTTCATTCGTAATCGAAGATAGGTGTAGATGTCTATGGGCCATAGCAACCACTTACCATCAGGTGGACTGTGTGCACGTTTGTCACCCTTATCCTATATAAAAAAAAAAACAGCTTTCACCACCCTACATTCCAGTGTCCGTTAACCTTTAATTTAAAGGCAAAGGTTTAACACTTAACTACACCAAGAATATAATGATTTTTTTAAAATATTTAGATATATTTACAGTACCTATGTCTTAACGAATACTCGTCAGTCTTAATTTACTTTTTTTTGGTCAAATTACCTTTATTATTTTTGACTTAGCTTGCAATGGATGAATAACCAGATGGTGTCTTTTGGTATATAATATCATAGTACTGTCTGGGCTCCATGCGGCCATATAGCATGGTACATCAGATTCGACAACAGTTGATCTGAGTAAACCATTACAAGACCAAACTTTTACGCATCCGTCTTCTCCAGCTAAAAATATTAAGTGATTATCATTACAGTCAGTCCTGGCAACTTTACCAATGAATGTTAACTTTGCCATCAGGGGTGTACTGGTACAAAATTACGATTAACACAGAAAACGTAATGTTTTTCGAGATAAGCCATGTTTTGGATGAAAATACAATAACTAATTGACAACATTGCTTTCGATATGGCAACATGAGTGTGCCGGCGAAATAACCTCTTTGTCAGTGTTCCAGAACTTTAGTTGTTTTTGTTTGAAATACTGAATGTATTGATCTATATCTTTGTATTAACGTAATATTAATGGTTATCAAATGTAATACATCCTTTGTAACATGTTGGTCTTAATATTTATCTATAAAACTAACTTAGCAAAGTTACCATACTAGTGATGCCATGATGTGACGGTTACTTTGCCTTGTTTTATTACAACCAAGGGTTGTCACTTTCAACCTAAATTTTTAATCGATTACAACCACTTAGGTGACAACGCATCTGCATTTTGATTCGCAAACGAGGATAGAAGTAGATGTTTATGTGTCACAGCAACTACTTACCATCAGGTGAACTGTTTGCTCGTTTGTCACCCTATCCTATAAAAAAAATATCAAATCTATGAAGAATATAAGGTCACATATAATATTGACGCCCAGTCTCTCAGTACATTTTTTGTTGTAAAATTGGTGTTAAGCTTTTAAGTCCTTCAAAAAAATGGCAAAGTTGCCTGGTTTCACGGTACGCAATTTTATCATTTGTCTATTCTCTTGCTTTCTCTCTCTTTCACTTTCTATCTCTCTCTCTCTCTCTCTCTCTCTCTCTCTCTCTCTCTCTCTCACTCTCTCTCGCTCCCTTAGTATTCTCAAAAGTTTTATTAACCGTTGGGTTTATAGTGAGATATAACATCTTTTATGTAAACGTTAAAAACATAGCGTATCTTTCAAACCACATAAAGATAAATACCTGTTAAAATTCCATCAGCATTAGGACTCCATAACGCAACAAGACATGCTCCTTGATGCGCATTTATGCTTTTTTCAATACGCCCGTTGTAATTTAATATATGAAATCTGTTAAAAAAAGATATTTTTCTTACCCGATACTTAATCAATTTACTTTCAGTGTTAAAAATGACAAAATAGAGGCAACATGACGGTTATGTAGTTTCATTCCCCGATTCTACTTAGAAAAGTTACCAAGTGGACCTAAAAATATTACGTGCGATATACTAAATATTACGCCGAAAAGTTACAGATATTTAATTATTAATTTACACTTTTAAAAAGTAGATACTCCATAAATATATTAAAGAATCATTCTTTCTGAGTCTAATAACATTATGGTTCGCTAATGTATATAATGTTATTTTTTATAATCTTGCTTTTTTTCATGAAATAATGTTTTTTTAACTCAATCATGTCTCTAAAGGCCGTGTAGTGGCGGCGTAAAAGAATCTACTACACCATAATATGATCTCGTGGATGTCGTAAGGGGCGACAGTGGGAAATAGAACAGAAGATGTAATATAAAAACAATATAAAACTGCGATTGCCAACCCGCAAGCCAGGGCTGGCAACTATGGCAAATATGCCCCGAAGCCTATGTTTATCAGCGAACTTTTGATAGGCTGTAATAATTGGAAGAACGCACGATACTATTTGGTTTTTAGGAGTAGCGGAAGTCAACCCTGATCAGAACGATCAAGCAAATCGACATCTACTGAGACCATATTTCGCCTCCTTATATTATATTCTATTTGTTAATAATACTTACTTTCCATCGGTTGACGAAATCAAAATACCTTCGCTGTGCGCCTTTTTTCCCGTGATATTTATTTTTGGAAATAAATGTAGTCCAGTTGGAAAAAAATCATCAGCAAAAGTGGCAACAGTCATGCATTCATTAGTTGCAAGGTTCCATTTTAGGAGCTTATGGTCATCACTTAAAAATAAAACTAACATATAATACCATGTTTTAACCTTTTGATAGAGAACGTAATGAGATAAAAGCGGCTAAGTGCGAGTCGGACTCGCCCATGAAGGGTTCCAGCAAGTAACAGC